GCGCGCTAGGAATGGCAATACAGAAGCTCGATAAGCCGATGTGCGACAGCATATAAGACGGAAGTTGCGGCGCATCGGGCGGGAAGACTTGGCAGACATAAGATCGGAATGTAGGGGATGGGCAACGTCATCTAGAATTCGACCAGCAAATTGCTTGACCGCATTGAAGTGTCGTTGTAAAATAGTGTCAACTAAAAAAAATAGAAGAAACGCCAGCAGCAGAAGAGAGCATGCAGAGGATTCGTTTCAAAATTAAAAGATCCTTTTTTAACAAAGCAGGAAAAATGACAGGAGAACAGTATAGGATAAGTGGAAGAACGCAGGCATCAATGAAACGCCAGACTAAGGGTTGAGGTGTGTGGTAGGAACGTAAACGACGAATGTAGTAAAGAAGTTGACGAACTTTTATAAATAGGGACTCAATATGGAGGGAAAAAGAAAGATTTGAGGACAAAGTAACGCCGAGATACCTGAAAGAGGATACTTCGTTAGGAAGAATGTCAGAGGAATCAGTGCTAGGAGAGCGCCGCAGTCGAAAAATACACTGAGCGGATTTTTGGTTGTTAATTAGGAGACCATTTTCCTCCGACCACGCTAGGACATGGTCTAGGCCATCCTTTAGAGACCGGAGGTGTGCCTGACTTTTGAGAGGGTGTCCAACAACCACATCGTCAGCATAATTGACCAGAAGACAGTCATTAGGGGACCTGAGATCATCAGTGTGGAGAGAGAAAAGGTGAGGGGATAGAATGGAACCTTGCAGAACACCGTAGTCATTGGGAAGGGTCGAAGATTTCCGCTTGCCAGATTGGACAATTTGGGTGCGGAAGGTAAAATAATCGCTCAGCCAAGAGACGACCCAGCCTGGAGAGCCACATGCGGAGGTTTTGGAAAGGAGAAGAGGGCGCGGGACGGTATTGAAGGCGGAGGAGTAATCAAGAAAAGCGCACGCATACTCGCGGCAACCCTTGTCTAATGCTTTTAGAGCAGAGTGGACCACAAGAGCGACAGCATCTAAAGTACTCCGTTTAGCTTCGTATGCTAATGGTAAGGGGTCGGAAAAACTGGAAGAAAAAGGCTTTATGATATCTAGAGCAACTCTTTCAGCAAGCTTTAGTTTTACAGAGGAGCAGGCAATTGGGCGAAAATATTTAGGACCAAAGTTAGCAGGTTTTTTTGGGATGGGAGTGATTCTCACTGTACGCCAGGCGTCGTTGAGATTAAGTTGATAGTAAGAAATGTTAATGTGAGAGATGGATGTACTTGCTTGCGGTTAACGTCGAAAGTAGGAAAAATCGTGTTCCTGCTACGGAATGACGCCAATCGTCGTGAAGTGCAGCAAAAAAGACGAGAAACTGCGTCTTTAGTGCGCGCAACTTAAAAAGTTAGCTTCAGGGTGTGAATTACCACACTGACAATTCGTAGTAATCCTAGGAATCAAGAAAATTAAAGAAACTGATTGTGTGCATACATATGTATATATAGGCAGAATGGCATTACCGACAAAGACAAGGGATACTGGAATGGCCATTTCTGGCCTATTAGCCGTCGTCAGCAAGTCATACCCGAGCTCGAAGTGTGGAACACCCGAGAATCGAACTCGCGACCTGTTAGTTAGAAGTTCACGCCTCTAACCACTGCGCCACGAGCCCGTTGCCCTGTCGATTTTCGATTGGGAATATACAATGGTAGGGGGCGCTCACCGATCGTTCATACGGAACTCACTCGTTCCGTTGTGCCTTAACGGCTCTCTCTCGAGCCCAACCAGCAGCCGTACAGCGGCGCATGATATATAGGCTGTGCGGCTGCTTGTTGGGCTCGAGAGAGAGCCGTTAAGGCACAACGGAACGAGTGAGTTCCGTATGAACGATCGGTGATCGCCCCCTACCATTGTATATTCCCGATCGAAAACCGACAGGGCAACGGGCTCGTGGCCCGGTGGGTAGAGGCGTGGACTTCTAAACCAACAGGTCGCGAGTTCGAGGCTCGGGTGTTCCACACTTCGGCTTGGGTATGGCTGGCTGACGACAGCTAATAAGCCAGAAGAAAAGGCGATCTCGAGAACCATAGTTTTACTGTCTTAACGTTTAAAAGGCAAACAAGCTTTCATCGTCGGAGGTGAGTGTGGTATCGCGTCTCAGTATTTATAGGTGGGTGACAGTCATGTCAAGACGGGTTTTCTTACGTATGAAGTCAGGACGGCAGGAAGGGATGGGTGGGGAAGGAGTACTAGAGCGTCTTTTCGCCAGATGAGGGGGTGGTGGATCAGCTTTAGTGATCACCAGCCGCATGCACACATGAACTGTGGCGGGCGGGAGGGGAGGCAGGATGATGGAATGTACTCAATCTACATCGGGGGCCGGCATTGAGACGCTGGTAGCCGTCGTTAGTATCTTCGTTGACCGTAGCTTTCGTCCAAGCCTGGCAATTTTGTTTACCCCGCACCGAATGTCCGTTTTCTCGTCCGCCGGACTAGTAGATGGACCTGCTGTTGTGAGGACTGCGCCTTCGTCGGAACCCGGTTGAGGGGTGGCCGATATGCATCTGCCATGGACTCGCTCATGTCTGGATTGATGTTCAGCCTGGATGCACGTCTGCTCATTTGTTTACTGAGTTGCGCCCGAAGGGCTTGGTAGGCAGCGGGAAGAGCCACACAACGGTTGATGGAGGTTGTCCCCGTGTGCCAAGCCTCGATTTTTTCCCTGGCTATGCGGTCGTTCCCCCGGCCCATATATATCACTCCGTTTGGGACGCAAGAAAAATATTACCTGGAACAAAATGGCAGCCATCCGAAATGTGGGACGGTGTTACGAGTGAGAACGGGCGTCGGTGTTCCAGTTTTTCATGCTTTTTGATCAGCAGCACATCTAAATACCATTTTAACTTCACTTGGGTTTAACGCTCACACCACGTTTGTGGTAGGTTCACGAAGCCTTTTCCGCGAATAGGGGCAAAAGACAATAGTTGTTTTGTCACTGTTCGGAGACCCAACGTTTTAGAGCCCCAGATTACAAACTTGAAAAATGCCGATTTCAAATGACTCTGTGAGACAAGCCAAAAAACTTTATGGTCGGTGTTTGTTCGAAGTGTTGTGGCAGATACCCTGATAGACAGCTAACCTCGATTCAAAGACACTGGTCTGAACAAATGGATTCCAAATCCACATACTGGTTATCTAGGATTTAATTTCGTCGGGGTCATAAAGTATGCAGTTTGGAGATGATGAGGTAGTAATTCATTAAGCTATCGCGCTTGCAGATCGCATTTGTAACCAACGCGTCCTGCTGACCTCTCCCCAGATGATAACGAAGTCCAGTAGCTGCCAGCGTCGTGATCGGGGATGCATCCAAGTCACATTCTCCTTCGTCGGAAGGCAATAGAATGTGTTGGCCAGGGGGAGATAGTGTTCTGTGCAGGTTCGCAGAAGGAGAGGACCGCTGACGTTACAGCCTCTAGTTTTCTGGGGACCTAGCACTCTCCTCCAGACAGCATTTTCAGGCCGGCCGAGGACAACCACCTTACCCGCCTTCAGCACGGTCGCCAGGGGTACATGCAGATCCTCGTAGAATTTGTTCTTCGTCTAGTCGTATCTGCTCGTTGGGGGGTTTTGACACTGTCAATGGTGGAAAATTTGGCATCCCGGGGAGGCAGAGTAATTTCCATGAGTCAGCCCTTGGTGTCTTGCGGCAGATGGGGCGGTTGCTCCACAATCACGTTCCAAATACCTTTGGGTGGCTACTTCACAGAAAGTTGTAGCCGGCACCCACTTGCTCCAGTTTTCCTTGTCCGGAGAAGTGGGTCTTGCGGAGAGCAGTAACGTCCACCTTGTAGAGAGCCAATTCTTGTTAGGCTGTCGTCGCCCTCCTTTCCGCCTGATTGTTTCTTGGATTGTCTGAAAGTGAACGAATATTTCAGGCTGATGGAGACAGTGGGACCACTATAGCAGCCTGTGGGGTGGGACGAAGTGAATGGAGATGTGGATTGTTGTCGTTCGACTGATCGTCCTGACCGCCTGTTTTGCATTTATGAGTCCGGATATACTTGCAGATGATGCGCGAGGCTTGTCACTAGCTCCGCGAGTACTCGAAGCCAACCAACGCTGTTCCCCCTCTGATTTGCTGGCGGACGCTGAAACAACGAAAGGTGCACACACGCGCTGGGCTTGAGCACCTCGACGACGGGCACAGACAACAACTGGCTTGGAGAACGCGCTCGCGGCGACTGCTTGCGGAGCTTTGTGTATGCACTTTCACAGCAGTAAAGCCTGTCCAACTCAATCCGTCTTCCTTGACTTTTGATTTGGGAACCCCTGTCTGTCGGCCACACTACTTCAGAAGGGACAAATCCTGCAGAACCGTAAGGACGCCGCCATTGTGAGTCCCTAAGGACACAGGGCAGACCAGAAAATCTGAGACGACCATCACTAT